CTCGTAAGTAGCCTTCTACCTTAAAATACTTAGACAATAATGCTAAGATAAGTACAGTCTTGTCTTTTTTGTGTACAACATTTTGCCTCAGTGGATCAATGGTGTGGATGTGTTTGTCTGTAGGTGGGAAATGGCTCAGGACCCCTTCTCTGAAATGGTAAAATAGTTCAAAGATGTTATGTGAAATATCTTACCAACGTAACACAAAGTAAACCAATTGAATTTAAAACCGATAATATAAAAATGTATGTAACAGAGCTCAAAAACACTTTTTGAATATTATAAAATTCACACATTTCACATCAAATATATAATTGTTGTTTTCGAACCCCCTATTCAAAAGTGCTGGCTACGGGCCTGTGATAACAAATTCAGATCGCCGAGACTTCCAAAAGAGCAAGAATTGATACTTCCGGGTTATCTTAAATCCAACACGACCGCTGAACCACGTGTCCAGCCAACATTTCAAAAGTAAGGCGCACCATTTGTCAATATTAAAAGTTTCAGATCATTCTGTCCAGCGGTTCTCTCAAACAAGGTCACGAAAAAAATGGCGGAATAAAAGAAGGAGACAGAAGTAGGTAAGACAGAAGGTAAACTAAAAGTTTCCATGTCTGTAGCTTTGTATTCCCAATAAAAAAAAAACAAAAAAAAACAAATGAATAGACTGATTATGACAAATTATTACTAAGTTTTATAATTAGACGCCATACTCGCAATATTGAGCAGTATTGGTTATGACAGTTTCGTTTTTTACTGAGAATCAAGATTTTGCATTGGAGGATTCTTCTTTCATTCATATATAAATATATATTTTGGCCTTTATTAAGAGCTAAAATTTTAGTATCTATTATGGACAATGAACAGTTGGAAATCCATTCAACGTAACACGTCCTTTATATTCGATGTCGTCCACATTCCCGATATTCATGCGTCTCACAATTTGTCTTTCTTCGTTAATAGGGTGGAATTTACCCGTGGTGCATCTCGTCTTTTTAGTAAGCACGTCGTAGTAGTGGCACACATAGGTTTGGTTGGTCACGTGTCCATATACGTCTAGGTAATTACAAAACTGCAGACCGATTGTTATTCCTGGAAATTTGTAAAATGTGAAATTGAAAATAAAATTAGATTAGAAGTGAATCTCGCTGCAAATGACAATTTAGTTTAATCAGACGATGTAACACTAAGTGGGAAAAGTTTAAATATCAGAATTCATTCAAAACTGCCAGTCAAATAATGAAGGTAATTACCGATGAAACCAGATGACGTAGTTGTTTTTTTCATAGAATTACTTGTCAAATCTTGCACAGTATCCCATTGTCGCCACAAAGAACCCGGATGTACAAGATAAGCGTTCAACTCCGGATATGCCATTAACCATTTAAAATATCTTATAAACATATCTTGTGAAGCTGTATAAAACTATGCAAGAAAGAAATCACTTTTATCGTATCAGTACTCGGGTATGATTCGGTTATCTGGCGCTATCGTGTGTGTTACGATTTTGATTGGGGAACCAATCATCTGTGATTACAAAAGATAAATAATATCGAGGCGTACCTATAATGGAATGGCGAGTCATGCGCTATATAATAAACTATCCACTGGAATGTTATAACGAGCCGGGCATTTACCTCATAGATGTTCCCTCTATACAGATTATAGCCACCTTTCCAAATGAAATATGCACCATTTGTGATATGTTTGTCTGTTAATCCCTTCTTCATAAATGCTTGATGATTAAGTACCCGGATGGTGGTTTTACTCCCGACATCCTTTTCGTGATGTTCAGTCGGCGCGGTGTTGAATCGTATAACAGCGTCATGCATATCTTTCAATGAAAACAAATTTACAATTATAGAGGGCCATGCGCCATGTTTCCTGAGTCACGTGACGACAGATTTATCAGTAAATTAAAATCGATGTTCAACTTTGTATTTACCTATTTCTTTACCGAGACCTGATCCGTTAAGGTAACTTGAACTTGAAACCAAGGCACAGTTATTGAATGATTGTGAGAACAATTCTTTAGGAGTATGTTTCGGGAAATATTTGTAAATCTCAAATTTCTTGAATAGCCTAGTATTACGTCCTAAATATGACAAAGGTGTTTTCTTGAATTTGCATGTGATATCGTTTACGTCAAGTTTTAAGTTCGATCTATACGTGATACCATGGTTCCGATGTCTGTGACGCTGTGGGCTGTTTTTGGATTCAGTTGATAAATGATATTCGTTCGTTATATTAGGAAGTACCACCTCACACTTTGCCAAGTGACCAATGCATCGAACAGCGCCCTCGGCGTCTGACGTGTTCAATAACGGTGCCGATGTTCCGTTTATTGCTGCTACGTGACGTCTTAATGCTGTTGAATTATGCGTGACATTACAACTTTGGAAAGTAGAGTTCCATGATTTAATAATTCTGATGACCGGGAATCGTGATATCCATTGATGAATATTCAATTCAGTTGTTAATACGTCATTGTACACCCATGCCATCATCCCGAAGCTGAGTAAACACAAACATGCAAAACAGTGTACGACACGACACTCCATTTATCTAGAAAATAACCAAATGTGAATCGTGTTTAGATTACTAGTATATACAGAATATCTCGATTGTTAGTTTACACATACAATCAAATTTCGATAACGTAAAACAGCAGAAGTATAAATCCAACCTATGCCAATTTAATTTTTCATTAGATTTGCTTTAATTTACATATTACCGTTATGTCGCGAGTCAGCTGAAACCAGCGTACTAGTAATTCATTTCTGAACTGGGCAGGTGATTTAAAAGCCACATGAGATTGCAATTTGCTTGTCTAATTGTCATGCACATTGTCACATACTAATGTAAATCTCTTCATCCTACTAGATTTACAGAGAAGATACCAGTTGTATTCTTTGCATTGCACTCCCGTTGGAACATGTAGTTGAACACGCCATTTACATGCTAGTACGATTATACATTTACGACTTATTAAAGAAATGTCTTAAGGTTTTACTACACACTATTTTTAATATTGAACTTTCTATTGGACGCGTGCTAAACGGAATGAAGAATGCAACAGTCAAACCAACTTTTAAGAAAACACAACTTAACCATGAAGATTGCAAAAACAATATAGACCCATTTATATGTTTGTTGCTTCACACTGTGTATTCAATGAACTGTGTATGTTTCTAACCATTTCCACCACTTACAGGTCACTTTTAGGCCCGAACTTACCACCGGGGACGGTACCAACACTCGGTCCCGGGAGTTGCTCGTGTAGAACGAGGACCAAGACCAGCAAACCAGGTCTTTAAATAATGTTTGTTTCACGGCGTAGACTGCAGGCTGTCCTATTTGTATCAGTCCCACTTCACGTATTGGACAGAAATTATCTTGAAACATGGACGAGCTGTCACGTCGACACTTGCGCTCGATTGCTTTGGAGCTGAATTGCAGCGTGTCCTTGCCCAAGAGAATACGGTTCAAATTTTCCTCACTACATACAAGACACTTTACGGACATTCATACTGAAAATCATGCAAATGCTGTTCCAAGATTATAGAATAATCTACCTCCGGAATGTTACTCTGTAGCTGCTGTTATAGTGTCATAGTCTCATTTGTTATACAGTTACCCTGTCCATGGTGAAAGTATTTCCCATTTGACTGGTATTGAGAATATGTAATGTTAATAGGACAGCAAAAGAAGAAAAATGCCTTTTCATATAAATTATTAACCCATGTTGGGTGTAAGCCAATTCTAATTTATTATTGCTTATCCTGCATGCAATGTGTCCAGAATTTCCAATGCAGTCCAGTGGAGTTTTTGTTCGGGAATTCCCTGAATCCCTTTCTTTCCGATTTAGAAATATTATTAGCAGGTTTCTAATGCTGGGACCTCGCCTCCAAGGGTTAGATTAGTTCAACTGAGGCAGTCCACTCTGACTGGTTTGCCCAGTCAAGCACACAATTTCGTAAGTGCATACAGGACTGTGGGTGAGTTGCTTGTTAATTAGGGACTGCGACCAATCAAGTCCAAACGACTCATATGGTAATTCTATACCAAGTGTGGGACAGACCCCCCCCCGGGATGCAGTTGGTACATAGCTGGGTGGGGAGGTACCCGAGTGCTAAAAAATGTGACCATTTTTATACCAGGATAATGGCAAAATCTATACCCATATTTATACCGAAATACCATTTCTGTCATCACTATTTGTTCCAAATAAAATAGTTACCGTATTTGCTCTATTAGAAGAGCATCTCCAATAGAAACATTTTAAGCCAACAGTTGCATTGTATATTGATTTATTAAAATATGTATTTTTACCATAGAAACACCTCTTACATAAGAGCATATTATTAACACAATGTTCAGGTTATTTATACCAAATCGGAAAAATATTACCGATATTTATACCTATCTTGCCCAGAATTAAGACCGATACTTATACCTAAAATCCAAAAAACGATACTCATTTCAGGGGCATGTCCCCATTAGGCAAGTTCTATGTAAACCACTGCACATTCAGCAAGGATGAAATTCTGGATAACAACAACACTAAGGATTTACACTCCGGTAAAAGCCAATGACCCGCCTAGCTAATATTGCATACTAGTATATACGCTACATACAATATATAAATATATACCATATAAAGCTAAACATCTTCAAGCAAAAAAAAGTTTTCCAAAATCTTAACATCTGTTCTTTCTGCTATAAAAGATGCACTGCAATGTTTCTGCTAAACATTTAACATATCCATACTTC